AGTTGGTTAAAAAACAGACAAACAGTTAAACACTTAATCTTAAATTAGTCTAGAAATTATTTAAAAGAACAATTCACTACCAGACACTCAGCACAACAGGTCATCATGAGCCAACTGTTGTTCAAACGCATCTATATTTCTTGTGATCCTGTGAACGCAAAACTCAGTCACGGTCGTCCCACCCCGCAGTTTGTCCCTACGGGTCAGCAAAATTTACATTTTAGCTTCACCTGTTAAAATATTTAGGAGTTGACACTTTGCTCTTTCTGCAAATAGAAACAGGGGCAGTAGAAATGACACCAAAGAGGTTCAAAACACACGTTAAAACGTTTTTGCCAACGTTTTTGCCAATTTCCTGCACTCAGTAAAAACATGCAAAATGTTTTCTGTCAAACCACAGAATGGGCACTTATTCACAACACACTACTATTAAAAACAGATAGAAAGGCCTTGGTTGCGATCCCATGTGGAATCATCCACTGGAGGTCCAGGAGTTGTTGCAGGCAGAAATTCTTTTGCTGCATCGTGCCCCACCAGCCCAGGCACAGTGCTGCAGAACACATCCAACCTGGCACTCTAGAGCCTAATACAATCTCTCTAATCCTCTCTGCCGGCACTAACACCACATCACCTCCAACCTGCCCTCCTGCAACTCATCTATCCCACAACACCCCCCACCCCCCAAAACTCTCCTTTTCTCTTCTCTTCCTCTCTTCCTCCCTTCTCCTATCCCACATTCTTCCCCCTCCCCTACTTTCCTTATTACCCCCTCCCATCTCACATACCCCCTTATCACACACCCTCATCAGCTGATGACTAGGGTGAGTGCCATCTATCTGGAAGATGTCATGCATCGTTCCAGTTCCCAAGTGAACAGAACGACTTCCGACCCGTGGCACTCTCATCTCACCTGATGAAGACTCTGGAGTGGCTCTTCCTCAACGTCCTCAGGCCGTTGCAACATGCCCAGGACAACAGTTTGCCTACAGAGCGGAGGTATGCAATGAAGGTGGATCTAGGAGTGAGGCTGCTGGGAGGTGGCGTGACAGGTACAGGTCCAAGATCAGGCAGTGGGTGCGGTGATAATATGTGGATTCCTAAAACACAGTGATAGCAGGGAATTTCTTAAGTGAGCAATATAACAGTGGAAATCCCGATCCCAACAATCCAAAAATTGATGATGTGTGTTTACTACACCCGCAACTGACCAGTCAGGTGCCTCAGTGCTCAGAAGAGCTTTTATTGACACAAAATTGCAGTAACTCATTGTAAATTCATTTATTGCTCTTAACCCAGCTTCTCCAAAAACACCTTTTCCTGCACTCACACTGTACTCTCGTCCTCATGCACACACGCGCTCTAACCACAGCTCCTCCTCCTATACATATAACTGTTAACTCATTCAGAACATATGAATAGAACATTATCAACGATAACGATCACTAGATGGCAGCATTGGAGCTCATTTTAATAATCTATTTTAATTAAATAAGTGGATTGAAAGCAGGATGCTGGTGTCAGCAACTCATACAGTGGTTTGTACAGATACAGATACATAAATAAATAAAAATTACCAGGCGCTCAATGGTACAGTGATCCCTCACCTATCGTGGTAGTTGCCTTCCAAGACCCACCGTGAAAAGGGAAAATCTGCAAAGTAGGGGCGAGATTTTATAAACCAGCAAGACCCACCGCGAAAAGGGAAAATCTGCAAAGTAGGGACGAGATTTTATAAACCAGCCCGGATAAATGGTGAAGGTTGTGTCAGGAAGGGCATCCGGTGTAAAAACTTTGCCAAATCAAGTAATGCAAATTAAAATGTTTTCCATACCGGATCGGTCGGGGCCCCGGTCAAAAACAACTGCCAACAGTGCTGTTGACCTACAGAGTACTGATGGAAATTGGGCTATTGTTGGTTGAAGACAGAAAGGAAGAGGAGGGCGTTTGGTTAGGAGAAAAAGAGAAAAGAGAAAGGATAGAAGTGTTGGTGTGAAGTTTGGAACTCTGAATGTAGGTACAATTACAGGGAAAAGTAAAGAAATAGCTGATGTTATGGAGAGAAGAAGAGTAGACATTGTGTGTGTGCAGGAGACCAGGTGGAAGGGCAGCAAAGCTAGAAACTTTGGAGGAGGCTACAAATAATTTTATCATGGTTCGGATGGGAAGAGAAATTCTAGATCTGGGTTCTAGATCCTCGTCGCCAATTGTTGTGTATGTTGTCACAATACACACACATTCAACCTTAGATGTGCCACAATAATGCACAGACACAGTTGATGCTTTTTTATATGAGCTTGTCGCTCGCTTTACTAAAGAACTTATCATCAACCGTTACTTTCCATTGCGCATGCGTTCATTACCTGTAACATCATCAATATCAATGCGCAATAACATGAAACAATATAGATCTCAATATCTCCTATACAACAAAACTCAACTCCTTTTGCCTCCAACTGTCTCTTAATATCAGATGAAACTTCTTCAATCCTCCGTGACACAGCCGGGCAAACATTGGCGAACTGTTGCTTTTTCTCAGGACAAATGTTCTCCACCATTTTCATCACAGTCTTTAATAAATACACTCTCAGTAAAAGGTTTGCAGTGCTTGGCAATCATTCGACTCAATGAAAAGTGTTGCTGTGCCGTTAAACCAGCTTCAAGTTGCTTCAATTTTTCACCGCGTTCTTTCCCAGTTAACTTGTCGTAATTAGCATGTTTTGTCTGGTAGTGCCTGGTAGTGGCTGTGTTCAAGGAGTTCAATATAGCCACAGTCTATTGGCAAATTAGGCAGACACAGTTGTTTCATAACTCAGTGAAAAAATATTCCGATTTCCACTTGTCCTGGAAACGGCAGCCCTCGCTGTCAACTTTCCTTTTCCTACTTCAGGTTGCTATTTTAGAAAAGGGCAAAAAACAGATCAGGCACAAAACGGGGTCGAGAGAGTTCAGCCACAAGTTTACTGCTATCTTGTGGTGAAATATAAAATTGCTTTTTTTAGTGTGTATTTTATACTGTCCCCTCCTTGAACCGCAACCTTAACGTGGTGGAGGGATTCAAGTATCCGAATGAGCCTAGGAGCTATGTTGTGCTTAATGCCCCTGGTAGGGTATCCCTAGGCAAACAGGTTCTAGGCGACGGATCAGACAAATAGCGGTTCAAACCCCCCCTTGATGAAGAAAACAACAAAATCAAAGAGGTTCACGTCGCCCGGATTGACGTCACTGGGGAGCCAGGCTGTGTTCCAACTATTGGGGGATCACACTCTTCATCCTCCCGGGAAAAGTCTATTCCACGGTACTGGAGAGGAGAATCCGGCCGATAGTCGAATCTCGGATTCAAGAGGAACAATGCGGTTTTCGTCCTGGTCGTGGAACACTGGACCAGCTCTATACCCTCCACAGGGTGCTTGAGGGTTCATGGGAGTTTGCCACCGGATTTCATCTCTGCTTTTTAATGATGTGGTCTTGTTGGCTTCTTCGAGCCAGGACCTGCAGCATGCACTGGGGCGGTTTGCAGTCGGGTGTAAAACCGCTGGGATGAGAATTAGCACCTCTAAGTCCGAGGCCATGGTTCTCGACCGGAAAAAGGTGGTTTGCACCCTCCGGTTTGCGGAGAAAGTCCTGCCTGGTGGAGGAGTTTAAGTATCTTGGGGTCTTGTTCACGAGTGACGGTAGGATGAAACGTGAGATTGACAGGCGGATCGGTGCAGCAGCCGCAGTAATTCGGTCCGTTGTGGTGAAGAAGGAGCTGAGCCGAAAGGCGAAGCTCTTGATTTACCGGTCTGGAGAAGCTGGTTAGGAGATCCAGCTCGGTCGTGAATTGTACCTTAGAGACTCTGGAAGAGGTAGGTGAGAGGAGGATTTTAGCCAAACTAAAATCCATTATGGACAATCCCTTTCATGACTCGCGAGTGATTCGTTCAATATGAACAAATCAAATCAATATGAACAAATCACATCAAATCACATCAGAGGCACCACCACTCCGGTCTGCCAGTCCAGAGGTACTGTACACGTGATGCTGCACATCACTATGCTCAATGTATCTGTTAAGGTTCTCTGTGTAGGTTCTGTGCTGAATGTAATTTAGAAGTTGTGGTTATCCACTCAGTCAATTTCTATATATATTTACGTTTTATAAAATATATCATCCCGTATTTTTGCCCTTTTTTTATTTTTACACTAAATCAGAGGTTTACAAAGTGGGGGCGCACCCCATAGGCAGGGGAGCAGTGCCATTGCAGGGGGGGGGGTGGTGGTGGAATGAATGCATGAACCATAATGCAGCGCATTGTCCAGTGCTGTAAATGTTTAACAAGAGACTGGCAAAAAACAAGTTATTTGAAGGGTGCGGTAAAATTCATATCTGATAATAACATTGTTAAGGAGGCCATTATTTTTAAATCTTGCTCTTGTTGTCGCCTGTCAGATCTGCTTGGAGCAGCAGTACCATCCCTGCTCAGTGCTCCCCCCCCACCCTCCCCAACAGGACACACAAACAAAATATGTTTGTGTGTCCTGTTTTTCTGGGAGGGAGGGGTGCAACAATTTTTTTTATGTACCATTGCACTAATATAAAGAATATGAGGAGTGTAACAATAAGAAACACACACCATTAAAGAAATGCACCATGATATGCCTATACTGATTCATCAGCAGTATAGTATGAGTTATTAAAAGCACCATTTTTTTAATTTTTAATTTTTATAAAATCAGAGAATTGTGGTTACGGTTAAGGGATGAGTATGAATAATTTGATGAAGCTCAGGCAAGATAAGGTTAATGCAGCATTCTAACGTGCTGGCTTTAAAAAAAAAAAGCAATGCATAAGGGGGAAGCAGGGAGATGGAAGGAAGGAAAGAGACAGGATAGGTTGACTGTGTGAGTGATGTAATGGCCGCTAAGCCACCACCCATCTCTCTCGCTCTCTCTCTCTTTCACGCTCTCTCTCTCCCCCCCTCCCTCCACATCTTTCTGTCTGTCTATGTGTGTGTGTTTAAGGAAGAGACGCAGTGAGTCAGGAGCAGGAGCTGCGGACAGCCTCTATTTCCAGCATACAGAGGGAAGAGGAGGAGAGAAGACCGCTGTCCTCGCAGAGTGCATGCATTGCGGCTAAGGGAACTATTGTCATCTCTTCCAATCAACGTGTCCTTTATTCCGTTTTTGAGCACCCATCTGATTTCCACCCGTTTTTGCAGAGGATACAAAGGAAAACTGGCTGTGCACCATTGCGCATTTTATTTCACCAGGATCCCTCCCCCATTTTCTTTCGCTCAGGCCTTAGCTTGACTGTAATCAAGGAGCTTCTCATTCTGAACAAGAAGACAGGAGGACCCTTTTGCAGTAGGACCGAGTCTCTTTGCTGCAGGTGCCGCTGATCTGCATAAAGCAGCTTAATAAAGCTGTATGGGCCCCAGTCAGCAGCTTTGGTCTCGCTGTTTTTTCGGTGTTCACCACACGAGGCCCTGGTGATTACTGCTGGTGTTTTTTCTTTTCTTCTTTTTTGTTTTATACATGAATTTGAATGGCGAAATCTGCACATTGCTGCTGTGAGACGGTAGCCCTGCGTGCATTTCTATGTGTTTGCTTTTAATGTGAGTCTGTGAGGGTGCCTGGGCACCCCCCTCCCCCTCACATTTCAAACTACACCACCAACAACGTTTTTTTCATTTTTTATTTCTTGTCATTTTAAAGTTGCACGTGGTGATTATTTAAATGCCGGATCAATATTTCAGTGACTATTGCTGACGGTAAACATGCTTAGAAGAATCCTCTCGCTGAACATCCTCTTGGTCACCAGCCTATCGTTGTCCAAAATGGAGAGCCACAAAAATTCAGCCTCCATAGATATCTGTAGGGACCACTGTGTCTGTGAAGAGCGGGAGAACATTTTGAACATCAACTGTGAGAATAAAGGATTCACCACTGTCACACAGTTCCAGGCTCCACCAAATAAAATCTCACAGCTTTTTCTAAATGGAAACTTCCTTTCACGTCTCAGTGCCAATGTGTTTATCACATATGGCAATGTCACCTCACTGCATCTGGGGAATAATGGCTTGCAGGAAATTCGAGGTGGAGCATTCAACGGGCTTCGCTTCCTGAAGCGTCTCCATTTGAACAACAATAACCTGGAGGTGATCAAAGAAGACAGCTTCTCTGTACTAGAGAGTTTGGAGTATTTACAGGCAGATTATAATTACATCAGCACCATAGAGCCAGGTGCTTTCAGCAAAGTGAATAAACTGAAAGTGCTTATCCTCAATGACAACCTATTGTTGTCTTTGCCTCCTAATATATTCCGCTTCGTGCTGCTCACTCACTTGGACTTACGTGGGAACAGACTCAAGATGTTGCCCTTTGCTGGTGTACTTGAGCACATAGGTGGTATAATGGAGATCCAGCTGGAGGAGAACCCATGGAACTGCACCTGCGATCTGATTCCACTCAAATCATGGCTGGATACAATCACTGTCTTCGTTGGAGACATAGTGTGTGAGACGCCGTTTCGGCTACATGGCAAAGATATCACACAGCTTATTAAGCAGGACCTGTGTCCGCGCAGGAACACTGGTGAGCGCATGCACTTTCCTTCTGACTCCAAATCTCAAGGTGTCCTGACTCCAACCTACCTCCCTGAAATATTTACTCCCACACGTGCTCCAAAAGCCTCTCGCCCACCTAAAATACGCAACAAACCTACCCCTCGCATTTCAAAGGACAAACATGTGTTTGGCCCCATAATGGTTTACCAGACACGCTCGCCTGTGCCCATGCTGTGCCCCAGTGTGTGCATGTGCACATCACCAAACCCGGATAGTGGACTGAATATCAACTGTCAGGAGAGGAAACTGCAAAACATCAGCGAGCTCACCCCCAAGCCCTCCTTTCCAAAGAAGCTTCACCTGACTGGCAATTATTTGCAAGTTATTTACAAAACAGATCTGACTGAGTACACCGCACTGGAGCTGCTTCATCTAGGAAACAACAGAATCGCAGCAATTCAAGAGGGAGCATTCAAATATCTCACAAACCTTCGAAGACTCTACCTTAATGGAAATTACATTGAATCGCTATCTCAGACACTCTTTGACGGTTTGCAGTCGCTGCAGTATCTTTACTTGGAATATAACATTATCAAAGACATTTCACCACAGACGTTTAACTGTCTGCACAACCTCCAGCTGCTGTTTCTTAACAACAACTTGCTAAGATCACTCCCAGATAATGTTTTTGGAGGAACCATGCTAACAAGACTCAACATGAGAAATAATCACTTCTCTTATCTTCCAGTTGAAGGCATTTTGGACCAGCTCTCAGCTTTCATTCAAATTGACTTGCAAGAAAATCCCTGGGACTGTACGTGTGACATTGTGGCGCTCAAAAATTGGATGGAGCTTTCAAGTACAAGTGTGGTGGTCAATGAGATAACTTGCGACTCGCCTTCCAAACATGCTGGTCGCTTGCTGCGTTCGCTTCGTAATGAGGCCATATGCCCTGAGCCAAGTGACGTTCCCCCATTACAACATGTCTTTCCTACAAGAACCCCTACTTTTATTAGCCCTGAAACTAGAGCCACTACTCGCTCCTCTTCTTCTTCTGCTCCATCCTTTTCCTTTAGCTCCATCAGTCCCACTGATTCGAGACCCCATCCTCCTGACCTGCCTGAGGTGCCACTCTCTGTCCTTATTCTTGGGCTTCTTGTTGTTTTCATTCTGTCTGTATGCTTTGGAGCAGGCCTCTTTGTTTTTCTTCTGAAACGGCAGAAAGGGGTTGAACATTTGCCCACTAGTACCAATAACTTGGATCTTAACTCTCTGCAAATACAATATTGTTCCTACACTCCAGAACCAACGGAGGAGAAAAACTCTCAAAACCCCATTTATAACTACATTCCACCCCCTGTGGGCTCCATGTGCCAAAACCCTATTTACCTGCAGAGGGATTGTAAGCAAGTGACCTATTACCACAACATGAAGGATCTTAGCTTCAGGCCCTTGGATGCAAAAAGGGATGATTCTGTCTCTCACAGCCCTGGGGCCTTTACCATTAATACAGTGAATTTGATGGATAAATCACCAGCACCATGTAGTTTGAGCACCACAGAGCCACCTGAGATGCTGTATCAAAACTTTGGAGAGAAGCCGAACAAAGATCTCCCCACAGCCGCTGATAGCCCTCCTTTCAATTACAACTTTTGCACTTTACCCAGGAGACCTTGCATTGTGCCTCCCTATGAGGTAGCAACAGCCCAGCGACATGTCTCTGACCAGGACAGATCAAACCAAATACCATTTTATGGTACACCAAGGAAATATACTGGACCTGAAAACGCATCTAGAAACAATGAACAGACAATCCTTCTCCCTGGGAAGCTAAAGAAAGAACCAGACTACCTGGAAGTTTTGGAAAAACGGACTGCAATGAGCCAGCTGTAAAAATAAATCAATCCCTGCCCTAATATTCACAATAACTGTGCACTTACGCAAATAATAGCTCTCTCTCTTTATATATAGCTATTCTATCTGTTTCTGTTTAATCTTACATCATAGACTGAAAGTGAAGTGGAGCCTTTGAATTTGTTTTCTGTCTATAGTTTATTCAAGTGTTTTAAAAGGAATATAAAAGTATATAATTATGCAATTCTATTTTTCCATCTTGAAGGTATGAGTCATATGTTCACTATTGAACTTTTCACCTCAAAAAGACTGGTGATGGGAGGTAAATCTTGGGCAAGTCTTGTTTGGTATAGCTTGGATTTTTATTTTCCTCTAATAGACGAAGGAAACAATCGATGAAAAAAACATGTTGGTCATTAAAAAATGATACAGATTACAGATTGACATCTTGTAAATAGCATAAACCACATCAGAGCCCAAAAGCATTCTATAAACTCCAACACACTCTGCAAATAATATATTTTCCATAGAAAGTGCCGACGATTCTCTCTGCAAAATAAAAAAAAAATATTACTATTAATGTATTTTTAAAGAATTACGTTTTACAATGTAAAGTGTAAAAAAATGAAATGGACAAAATATTATAAAAGTGTTTAAATTTATGTACATTTGTTGGCCAGTATATTTGTGTTTTTGTTTTTTTTTTTTTTTTTTTTTTTTGCCCTTCTGAATTTGCAACCTATGCATAGTGTAGAGGGGGGAGCAATACACTGCAGTAAAATGGCACCATTATAATTCTCACAGAAGCACATTGTCAAAAGCTGGAGCCTGAGTTAAACTTGTATAAGATTATTTTTGGGTGCTGCAGTGGGGCTGCTGCGTGTTGTGTGTGGGGGTGGAGTTGAAGAAAATGAAGCAACACAACACGTGTAAACAGTTCTCCTCTTTCCTAGGAATGAGCTCAAGTCACGGACATGGAGAATTTATAGTCATTTTTGCCTAGGAACATATAACGGAGATGTTTTTAAGAGCAATCCTTTATTGTTTGGCACCAATAGATAAACATTTATTGCACTTATTTTTATTACTGCATTTATGATTGCATTCATTGCACTTTTAACCTTAACTGCTCATTAAGCTTCATGGTATTAGAGGACTTGATTAGGCCAAATATAAAAGAAACAAACAAACAAACAGCCTCAGTCAGAAGGCGGTGGTGTAAGGACTGCAGCTGTGCAGACTAAAAATGCTGCAGTTGTCATTTGGTCAGAATCTTTTAGTAAAGATGAAAAGTCATTGGTGTGACGGTTGTCTTTGCACCTCATTGCTGATTGCTGTTTGGACCACAAGTGCGAACAGAAGTGGTTAGTCCTCCTGCCTAACCCGTTCAGAAGTGGTTAGTCCTCCTGCCTAACCAGTTTTTCCAATTCCTGGTGGTAGTTATCTACATTTCTGTGTAGAATTTGCATGTTTTTCCCTGTGTGCAAAAATATGTTTTCTGGTGCTCGAGTTTTTTAAAAAAAAGAAGAAGAAAGGGATTAGGTTAATCGAACACCATAAACTGACCACAGGTATGAGTGCAAGTAAAAATTGTTGTTTGTCTCTATATGTAGCCCTATGATAACGTGGTCAACTGTACAGAGCATATCTCCTTCACTTCTTTACCTGATGACTACTGGGACATGCTGCAGTGACCCTGATAAGGATTAGGGCATTTATGTATGCATTTAGTTGTGTTAGACTTTTTTTGGTGGCAGGAGGTTACTGCAAAATTTGGACCAAAACTTATTAATGTTTTTTTTTTTTTTAAAAAAAAACAACAACTGTTTCCTCTACCAAACGTTAATTTCAATTTAAAATTCAGCTTGAAGCATAGACTTTGCACCAAAATAAAATCCATGCAACACTGAACTGATTTATCATTAATAATAATAATTCTGTTGCATGCTGCTATGCTATGGAGAGTACAATATTCATGGTCTGTTCTACTGTGGAAATGTTGAATTTCTACCCAGTTGTGATTCCCTCATTTCTCTCAGCGCTTTTCAAATTGGCTGAGGTTGTGTCTGGGCCACAAGTGACCTACGGGAGTCAAGATTTGAATAAGGGAACTTTAATGAGGTATTGAAACCCACGTTTCTATGAGGACTACTGATTCTAACGATAGTAATTTTTAAAATTTTTTACATCTTATTGCATTGGATTGGAATCTAATCAAGAACCTGATAATATGATTTTAAAAATCAACTGAACATACTTAACATACTTGTTTGCTGTGTCAGTCTCTCTTGTGTCTTTGCATTGGGTACCTAAATCAGCAATAAACGCACCACAGTCTCTTCCCAGAAATTCCAAATAGACATCAGAGTCTTGTCTTTAAACACATTGCAGACATTAAACCTGTTTTATGGAAGTTTTGTCGGGAAATTGTTCTCTTCTGTGTCTGTGGGCGTGTAAGGGGGGTTGTTCACAAAATCACATGGACGACATGGAAGAGGACATTGTTGTTGGACAAATGAACAGATTTGGGTAATAACTATTTCTGGTTTATAACATTAGTATATTCTGAATCTGGTTCTTTTTTTTAGTGATCCATAAAACCACCACTAAACCCATACTGATGAAGTGCACCTAAAATACAATGGTTAAAATCTTACAGTACATGTCAGTGGTTCTCAATTGTTTTCTGTCTGAACCCCGCCTGGGGATTAAAATGTTTTCACGACCCCCCGCGGCTCCTCCCCCGATCCACACCCCCGCGAATTAAAATAGTACTGCGAACCTGATAACGTATATTTTTATCTGTGCAAACCACTGTATGAGTTGCTGCCACCTAGTGACTGGAGGATTGTTATCATTCATGCATTACAGCATTATGTCCAGCGTGCCATATTCCATTGGAAGACCCCAATGCCAGCCCTGGCACCTCACTGCAGCCCCCGCCCCACTACTTGAGAAGTACTGGTATATGCAGCAATATCAAATTACACAGGAGAATATTAAAAACCACGCTTGAATCCCTTACCTGAGATGATAAAAATATTTGTAAACACTCTTCATTGATGTAAATTTAGCAAGAATTCAGCTAAATTTACAAAAAAAAAAAATCCAGTCCTTGTATTTGTGGATTATACTTGTCCATCTAAAGTCCCTTCTGTTCCATTTGGCAATTGCATCTTTCTGCCTGTCAGAATTAGACCTCCCCAAACACATGCTGCGGGTTGAGATGGTATTTTAAGCTTGATGTGCTTTGGTAAAGAGAAAATCTTTCCAGCATTATGTACCCAGCGACGGTAAGTATGTGTCACTCTCTCGATGAATTAAAATGCCTTATCTGGTTAAATTTTAATCTGGTTAATCTCCCCAAGCTAATTCCAGCAAACATCTTAGCTTTTAGCACATCCATGTTTTGCAGCTATAATTGCATGAAACACTCAAATGCTCCTCGCCTTTTCACTGTGTGCTACTACTATTATGACTCAAGGTGCTTTTACATCCGTACTGAAATAGTAGGGCAGGCCCCGTTGGGGTGGGGGGCGGGGTGGAGTGCGATGAGGTGCCAAAGGGGGCGTGAGGGGCTTCTGATGGAATATGGCACACTGGACATAAGTGTACCACTGCTCTAATTGTAATGCATAAATGATAAAAAGCCTGCATTTACTAAGTGGCAGCAACTCATACGGGAAGGGGGGTGCGTGAAAACATTTCTGTCCTCAAGGGGGGTAGGGCGTGACGGAAAGCAATTGAGAACCACTGGTTTACGTGTTGTTGCTTTTAAGTGTTTGTGAGAAGCTTGATAGACAGGAAACAGAAAAGGGATTTTGCCCAGGAGTCAGGGGAGATTAATAAAGGATGGAGATGACGAAGATAAGAAAAAGAAGTGGTGTAGGCATGTTTTTGAATTCCTCTTTTTTTTTCTGTAAAAAAAAATTAGTAAATTAGTTCCGTAGGCACAAAAGGCCCTCTGTGTCTATTTAGTGCCAGTGAAGAAAAATAGTGCTATTCACAGAGACACTCATAGCCTCCTGCTCTCTCTCTCTCTCTCTCAATCTCTCCCACTTTCTGCCTCCCTACATGCACATACACACACACACACAAAGAAGGAAGTTTGAAAGATGTATGGTCTTGCAAACCAATGAAGGCGCTTCCTCTACTTAACACTCACCTCCCCTTTCCCAGAGTTCCACAACTTGTATGTATGTATGTATCACTACAGCATATCTTAGATCAGAGGAGAGTCTAACAATAAGTGTTGTCTTTTCAATGAAGTGGGATACTGGGATGAAAAAAAAAATCAGATTTCAAAATAACTTCACAATGAATTAATCATTTTCGATGTGTGTGTGTTTAATCTCTCGTTCATTACCAACATGGCATGGGCAAACTTTTTGACTCGTGGCACACAATTGTCCTTAAATTAAATATGGGGGTCCGAGTCAGGAGCAGACACATGGAGCGTCTGTGTAAACTAAGATAAATGCCATGTAAAAGTCATGCATAAAGGCTAAAATGCTCACATGTTCTATGCCATCTATTGGGAAAACGGGGGTATTGCAGGGAAAAGGCAGAAATATAATGATAACATAAACAAATTATATCATTTGGAACAGTTTGGTGGGCCGGATTAAAAAGATGAAGGGGCCACATCCAGCCCCCAGGCCTTAGTTTGCCCATGCCTGACCTAGCACTTATTTTTTTGTGTGTTGTAAAATTCAAAAATGTGTTCTTTATCATCAACCATCATTTCCTGCCTAGAGGTTTTTGTTCCTTTACACACTACTGCACAGATCTCTAATAATAATAATAATAATAATATTAATAATAATAATTTTATTTGTAATGCACTATGTTTTTTTTTATCTCAAAGTGCTATATAAGCAATTAAAAGAGATAAAG